TCTAGGGTTTAGGGTTCAGGGTTCGACCCTAAACCCCTAAACCCTAAACCTATGCAGCCTAGTGTTTAATATAGGAGGCCGACAACATGCCTCCCTCATTCCGAGTCATTCCGCAAGGTTCCTGAATAGTCTTTTTAGGGTTTAGGGTTTAGGGTATAATGTACACCAAAAGCCTATTCTAATGACGAAGGGCCCTGTATTTGGGGGTATAGGGTTCTCGACTTCGGAGTTTACAGTTTGGATTTGGTGGGTTTAGCGGTTTAAGGCGTTAGGGCTCGGGAGGAGGCTCCAGGATGGTGTTAAGGGTTTCAGTTTGTTACAGTTTAGGGTTTAAGGTTTAGGGTTTAGGGTCTAGGGTCTAGGGTTCAGGGTTTAGGGTTTAGGGTTCAGGGTTTAGGGTTTAGGGTTTAGGGTGACTTGTAGTAATTGTGTGGTCCCTAAACCCTAAACCCTAAACCCTAAGCAACATCACGAATGGGGATGGTCCTACTATTACTATTCGGACCAGGAAGCCATAGCTGTGGTACACATCGGAGTAGCCATCGTTCTGAAACAAGGAATATTCCAAGCATTTCCGGGTAGGCCAGTAGGCCTTCGTTGCAGCTTGTAGGGTCTGGGGCTTAAGGCTTAGGGTTCACTTGCGGATTGGGAGTTGGCCTAAACCCCAATCCCTGAACCCGCAGACAGGTCTTGATTCGCGAAGTCCTGATTCCCAGGCCCGAAAAATTATATAGCCATGGCTACGATAGGCGCCTGAACCATGGCCCCCAACCCTACCCTGGCTGGGTTTTCTGAAAGCATGGGCTTTGGGTTTAGGGTGCATCTAGGGTTCATGGTTCAGCACAGACGCTTCAACCGAATAGCTTAGCCGCTAGCCCTGAACTAAAGTGGTGCATCGTTGTTGCAGAGGTACCCTAGCCAACACGGACACCCTGCAGATCTAAGAGTGACATCTTTCTTGAGGATCTTGCACAAATATCGTCATTATAGTTAGTGTTCTGTTGGGTTCAAAGACGGTTGATGTTTCGAGTATTTCAACGCTGAGCTTGTCCCTAAAGCGCTTTAGGCTTCAGCGTATAGGGTTGGGTTCACATGATTTTCTTAGATGCGATTTCTGGGGCGCAGACTTGCCTTCGTTTGCCTAGCGGATGTGGTTGGTTGGGTCGATCCGGAATCATATTCCATCCATGGGGCGTTTTTTCTACGCGGGTGCTGAAAGGGAGGAACCCTAATGTACCAAAACACCATGTGTCAACCGGTACGTGCGAAGCTAGGATTTTTTAAAGCTTTGGTACAGTTGCCTTGTCCTCGAACGTGCCTTTGCTAGAGAAGCGCCAATTCTTGCGGAGATTTCTGCGTAAGACCTCAACCGCAGCTAGCAGCTATAGCAGCAGCTACTATCGTGCCTAGTAGATGCATGCTTCGAGCTACTAAGCCGAGTTGGGGCTAAGTGCCCCATGCCCAAACCATGGAGTAGGGGTCTAGCACCGTAAGATGCACAATATTTCTCAAAGCTCCCCTTCCCTTGTTACCCCTCACCTAGTTTCGGAAACACCAATTGCCCCATTGCAGGTTGGAGTTGTTCAGTATCCGCTAAGTGGATGCGCTTAGTGGATGCCACGTGAACCACAGAGACGTCAACGAATGAAACACAGCATGGAGAAGGTCCCAAGCACACGGAGTCTTGAAGAGGCATTGCTTAAATATGCTGATAAATAGAGGGTCTGTTACTTGAGAAAGCGTTCGGGCTTCCTCTCGCTAGTAGGGGCTACGGCGTACCGACGTGTTCCTGCCGGCTAATGATAGATGAAGGCTAGTGGTGTCGTCTGATAGGTTTTTACTTGGATAGCCAGAGCTGGAAGTTTTAGCAAGCTGCTGAAACGGCCCATAGGCATCGGTGTGTTGGGGATTTGGTATCGAAAAATAGGCCTTACAGTGTGCGAATTTCAAGTCTTAGTAAATAACTACATTCACTTGATGTTAGGACCTGTGACTGGCAAGCTGCATTGTTGATTTTTTGCGAAGTGTTGCATCGAGGTGGAAACCTGGACAGCAAGTAGTCCGACACGAGTATGTGAAGGTTTGTGCAACGTTCCCAAGTCAGAGAGAAGGATGAGCTGCTCTGCAGAGGGGAAGTTTTGGGACCGCGTTCCTGAATTCCCTTCGCTCCCATGCAGGACAGCGGCTGAGAGGAAGTTCGCCGAGGAGTTTCACAGCCCGATCTTGAACTGGGATTCTCCCACATTAGCTCAGAAAACGCAGTACGGCGCTCTTCACTTGGGCTTAGTGGTCTTCCAACAGACCCTCCAGGTGTAGAGTACGGAAAGCGGGGACCTTTCGGGACCCATTCAGGGAGCAGGTGATCGCAATGAAGGAGTCGGTGAAGGGCTCGGCAGTTTTGTGGTGATCCTCACGGTGGACGGCTTGTGACACTGGGTTTAGTGCCACGCTTGGGGCCCTTCTTCGGTGTGTGCTTGGAACGCCGGCCCTGGGTTGGAAATCGAATACTTATCCGACATGCTACGCCTATGGTATGGATATGGATCTGTCTTGCTTGGGTTATAGGGGGGATATTCAACACAGGGCCGGCAGGCATAGGTGCGATAAAACCTCTACGCGGAACCATGCGTGATCAACGGGGACACGGTTGCATCATGTTGAGGCAGAGTGTCCTGACGTGGTCTTTGGACCCCTCTTCCCTTACCTTACGGGTAGTCGAAGAGGGTTGGGCGCCAAGTCATGTACGTGACTATGACTATCACCTCACTAGTTTGAGGTCGACTGAGTCTTCACTGCATTGAACCTTAACTTTTTCCTTCGTTTCTTTTTTTTACCATGGGGGCAGGACACCTCGCAGAGAGGCGGTGGCTAGGTTTCTGTTAGAGAGTGCGTCTTAAGAGCTCTGCTTCGGTGCTTAGCGAGGAACACTAGGGCGTCATGCTTAGATAACTCGGGCACAGGAACTTGTTAGTATGCTAGGCGCACCTAAGTTAGCTTAAAACTTCTCGAACCAGCTGTGCTTGTTTGTGTTTCGCTGCGCCCAGTTCAGGTTCGTGACCGTAAACGGGTACCTCCCGAAGTGGCATAGCTGGCATCTTCTACAAATCAGGGTCTACCTCAGCCCCCAGCCGAACTCCAATCTTTAGGCGCAGCCGCCCACCCCCCCCCTTTCTTAGGGGTTTGGGTTGACGCCCGTTCTTTTTGATCCTGACTTTCAGCAACTCCCAGCTGGCACCCTGAAACAGCTCCCACTAGCTTCTTGGTGCTCCCCTGAGGTTCCTGGCAGCCTTTTTGCGATACTTCGGTTGGCGTTAAGTTAAAGTTAAATGGCCTAGGGGTCACATAGCGCTAAGGTGTTCTAGAGATGGGGTGTAATACAGGTTATACAGATAGGGCTCATAGACAGTATACTATGACCGTGTTGGGGGAGCGTTTTTTCTTCACCTGCTTTGCCTCGTCCAGCTCAGGGACCCAGATGAACTACAAATTTATTCCAGGACATCTTTTCCAGGGTCAAGTGTGAATCAAGGCTGCAGAGCACCAGCATGTCTACATGTGACTCTTCCTGCAAGTAGCCTAGCTGATAACCAGCCCATGTGGTTGCAGCATCTAGCGCTATGTTCAGGTCACTGAGTGCTCCACATCGCAGTGAAGATCGAGCTACTCTACGACTCTACGACACTCTATTCCTGTGCTGTGACCCAGTGCCTTCCAGGTTTGCACCTCGGCCGGCAGAGCTCCCTGCCTCAGCCTTTTGAGCTCGAAGGGGGTTTTGCCGCCTTCTTTGAGCCGGCGGGCCGCAGGACAGGACGCCTAAGGGGTTCGGGAGGAGCCTTCAAAGGGGCGGGGGAGGTCTTGGGAGAGTCTGCTGCTCTTTTGGTGAGGGTTTAGGGTTTAGGGTTTAGGGGTTTAGGGTTTCTAGGGGTTTAGGGTTTAGGGTTTAGGGGTTTAGGGGATGGGAGTAGGGCTGCATGGCGAGACCTATCACTCAGAATCTTCGGGCCTCTACTGACATGACGTATGGCTACTGCTGTTGTTGTCAACAGTGGTAGTGATTATGGTAAGCAGATGCTCAAGATAGCATCATCATGGTTATGCCAAGATGGCATAGCCCTAAGAATAGCAGTAGTGGTTGAGATTCCCAATGGCGAAGTAAGAGGCATGGGCATCTCGCACGACAACAGCGGGCATGCTGTAGACAGCATGTGCAGCGTCGAAAGCATCTGTCCCACAAGACGTCATAAGCCAGTGGCAGCCTTGAAATCTCCGGCTCCTCTCCGGCTAGTCGACTTGGTGCATAGACTGCATTTTCATCGGTTCCTTCTGAGTGCAGCTGGTGTCGACATGGATACCTCAAATGCAGAGCTGTACTTCTTCTTCGTTGAATTCATGAGCTTCTGGGTCTAATGCGGGCGCGTAGTCCCACTTGCGCTGACAACTTTAGCTAGCCTTGAATTAAGACTGCTTAAGTTGTCAGACATGCGGTTTTTGTCTAAAGGATACTTTTCGATGATATTGCCAGAAGGGAAGTCCTTCAGACAGACTACGGTTTTCTTGTTGCTCTAATCTCACATGCTCTTCCCAGAGATCTCGTTGCAAGCTCGATAAATGCAACATCTGGTGCGTATGTACTGTCGGATTTCCCGTGGCACAAATTGGTAGAACGCAGGCAGCATTTCGGAACAGTGAAAGCCTCAGCATCGGATTTCCCTGCGCTGCAGGGGGCCGGAGCCCTACAGCAGGCCTCGCGTGCAGCTGGTGCACACTTGGATTGTTTGAGGCCGTAGTAATCTCACAGTCTCTTGACGGTACCAGTCTCGTTGAGAGTTGCAACAGCAGACTGATGACAAGCCTTTCTACTGCAAGCTCCAAAGTGGCCAACCTCACGAAAAGAGCTTCTAGGTCTTCGGAGACCAGATGAGGCATATCCGCCCACCCATGCAATCAGCTCCAAAGCGCACACCGGGTGGAGCTCTAGCTTCTGGCATCGTGCCGGCGCCTAGGTGGTCCTCCTTTCAACGCCGCGTCCTGTAGAACTCTGGTCCTTCTACATCAGAATCCTTGAGAGCAGAAGGCCCGGAGAGCCGCGAGGTGTCAGGTCATGTGGCGGCGCCTTGCCGCCATCGCAGCCATCTTCGAGGTGCTGGAGGTAACTGTTTAGGGCTTTAGGATGGTTTAGGGGTTTAGGGTTTAGGGCTTTGGTGGTTTAGGGTTTAGTGGTTTAGGGTTTAGGGTTTTAGGGGTTTAGAGTTTAGTGGTTTGGGGTTTAGGGTTTAGGGTTTCCGAGGGATCTCAGCGGTTCTCAAGCGCATGTCAGAGCATTGGCATGTGGTCACCGGGACTTGCTTCTCCCTGAGAAACTCATCTCCCCCTCTACTGGGTTCTTGCTAGGGGACTAGATTTAAGTTACCATAATAGGGATCTACAGTCAATAATATGGTTTCCCTATTATAGTAACTTAAATATTAAATCCCTTAACAAGAGCCCAGTCTACTCTCCGTGAAGAGACCGGGTTGCCCCTGTCGCCGGGAGCTGCTCCAAGCACAGTCTCAAAGGGGGTTCCTCTTGGCCCGATCCTTTTGCAATCGGGCTTTTGGGGTTTAGGTCCGTTTTGGGTTTGGGGTTTAGGGTTTAGGGTTTCTTAGGGTGTTTTTAAGGTTTAGGTCCGTTTTGGGTTTGGGTCGGCGTCCCATGCCTCTTGCGTCCCTCAGCCGGAAATCACGTACATCTGAAATGCACGTCTCCAGGCCACAGGACGACGTTGGATCACTCAAACCATCTTTCCGCCTAGTGGACAGGCTGGACCTCGCCACCTGATTCGGCCTACAGAGATTTCGATGCTTTTTCTGGGCAGGAGCATGGCCCCAAACTAAGCCCAAAGCCCTAAACCCCTAAACCCTAAACCCCCTAAACCTTAGGCCCTAAACCCATAAGGGCAGAGTTCCTGCCCGCTTGGACTTGCACGTTTTTCAGCCACAACCCCTAGGGACTCGGCGACGTCTGGGCCTCAAGGCCTCCTAGGTCCTAGGGCGGTTTTGGGTGAGTTTAGGGTGTCAGGGATTTAGGGAACTTAGGGATTTAGGGATTTAGGGACTTAGGGATTTAGGGGTTTAGGATGTGACGGATTTTAGAGAGGGGGGGATTCCCCAAACCCAAGGCGTGGGCAAAAGAGGCCTCCAAGGCCTTGTGGGATGCCCTGAGTCTCCGGGTGGTGGGTTCCCCTTTGCACAAGACTGGGCTCGTGTTCAGGGACTTAAAGTTAAGTTACCATAATAAGGAAACCATATTATGTACTATACATCCCGATTATGGTAACTTAAAATAAGTCCTTTATCAAGAACCCAGTTCCCTTTGCACAAGATCTGCCATGGCTTTCAGGGCCCTGATTTTTCTTCACCTCGGAAGCTCGGGGGTCAAAAAAGTGGAGGGGCACGTCATGGCAGGGATCATGGATCCTTCATAGCAGCGCTGTGGTCCAGGGATTGAGCCTGGGGCTTAGTGTTTGGGGCAGTTTAGGACACTTGCTTCATGTCATGGTGGCTTGCAGGGATTGAATCCTGGATCTAAAAAAGTAGATCCCCGAATTTGGGACCCTAACTACCACAGGGTACTTTATAGGAACCCCTTTAAGGGATCTACGTTTGCTCGTCTCTACCGAGGTTCAGTCTCTGCTTGCATCGTGTGCTGGGTATGCCTGCCGGCCCGGCCGACCCTGAAGCTGATCGGGCTTATTGAGACCAGGGTGCCTTAGTCCTAGGTAGTATTAGGGAGACCCCCTTAAAGGGGACCCTTCTGAACCCTACTTTTGGCTCTCTTAAAGAGGACCTTATTGAGAAGGTCTATATCCCCAAGGGTCCCCCTAATCCTAACTCCCACTTATATTGCTGTTCTGCTATTCTTATGCTACCTGTAGCATGGCTACCTTCGCCAGAGTGATATCTAGCGCTTGAGGCTTTCATCCATGCGCTGCCCAAATCCTAAACCCGAAACCCTAAACCCTAAGCCCTAAACCCCTAGACCCCTAAACCCTAAACCCTAAACCTCTAAACCCCTAAACCCCTAAATCCTAAACCCCGAAACCCCAAACCCGTTGAATAGCTTCCTTCGTCCTTAGACCCAGAGCCCAAAACATGGAACAGGAAAGTCCTTTAACTCAGGCGCAGTTTTCCAAATTCGGGTCCTTATTTAAGTCCCCCAAAATCTCACGGCACCCTTACAACGAAGGACCCTCAAAGAGGATCCGAATTTAGAGAACTA